TGCCGTTAGCAAAAGTTCTTCAGTAAACGCCGGTAGGACCGCCCTGCACCATTCCCACTCTCCCCGCCGTCCCACGGAAACTAGTCCACCGGCGGCAGCGGTGACAGATATCGTGCACACCTCCGCTTAGCCACGGCAAATGGCGTTTCCCTCATCGTAGGGTGGAGTGGCCCACGTAATCGTCGCTCCGTCCGTGCATGGGACCCAACGGACACCGCCCTTTTCAGTCGCTTCCGGATACACCTGCATGCCGAGGCACCTCAATGCCGCATGCATGACAGCACTCAGATATGTCTCCTCCGGGTCCCTCGCATCTGTCGTGTTCGCGGGAAGCGTGTCCGGACACCACGAAGAGGGCTTATCCCCAGGCCTTGCAGACAAATATTCTCCCTCCAAATAACAGCGTCAATATCCCTCGCATCCAGTGCGGGATCAATGATGGGGCAACTGTCCATTGGGCGTTTTGCTGAAATTTCATGGATACTACACACCAACCACTGGAATACCGATCCGACGCGCAGCATTTGAGGGGAACGCCCGATTCGCAGAACCTGTAGGGATATTTACCCATGTTCAGTGCGGGGTACCTCCTCTGCAGCAGCTCACAGCCCGAATTCCTGCTCCAGCGCATCGGCTCCGCCATCTCCCACTTCACCCTCATGCAACCCAGGGCCGCCGATGCGGCCAGCGTCAGCTCCGTGCAGTCGCCGGCACCCCAGTCGGTGCCATCCACTCATCCTTCGCGTGGCGCTGCGACCAGTACGACTCCAGCGTCCTCCCGTCCCCATCGTCTTCCTGCAGCTCCATGCCAACAATGTCGTCGCAGTCGTGGTGCTCCCTCGCTGCCATCGTGGCATTCGCCGAGTCTACCACCACCAAGAGCGCCCCGCCACGCACACAGACAACATTCCCCAACATGCTGCGGCTGGCCATGTGCGGGTAGGTGAACCCGAGAAAATGGGTCATCAGGTGCGCGGCGATGCGGGTAGCGAGCGGCCGTGAAATAAAACTGCGGGGAAAAGTGCATGGCGCCAGCGACGGGACGGCCATCCTCCAGCGTGGCGCACCGCAGTGACCACACACCACCCAGCGCCGCAGCCATGCACAGCACCATTTCAGAATTGGCAACACCAGTGGAACGATGCCCAGCAGGCACAATCAACCGACTGCAAACGCTGCCCGTGGCAAATGGGGGCACAAACAGCGGACCCTCCAGTGGCTGAAAAAACGAACGATCCGCATGCAGTTGGACAGCAGCAGGGATAGCCTTCTCGGCAAGGATTTTGCCGTGCACAGTGAAAGGAACACCACCCTTACAACCTCAATTTTCACCCAACGAACGCATCGCATAAGGCCGCTGTGAAAGGCAATAATTTCTGGTATCATTCAATCCCCTTGTGGGCACATTGATGCGAATGGGTGCCCATCGGCCCTCCCAAACGACGCTGTACACCTGCAACGCATCCTGTGCTCTGAGAGGCACGTCTCCCACCACACCCGGGGACGCCCACACGCCGTCGGCACGCAGCACATCGTCAAGGAAACAGTGATACGTCAAGGAGAGAGCAATACACCCGCTAGCAATTCACATCGCAGGCATCATCACGAGCAGCAATGGCAGCGCTGCAGGCAGTGGCGACGTGGATCAACTGACGCATGGCGTATGTGGAAGAAAAAACGTAACGGCCTGACGAGGATGCAAGAGGCTGACACCCCTACAAAAAGAAAGAAACGGTATGAGAACACAAAGAGGGGATTTAAACGCCCGCAGTCAAAGCAAGCCACTGATAAAAGGGGTGGAATGAGTGCAATAAACCAAAACACGAGCAGAGACACAAAGAATAAAAAACACAAAAAAAGACAAGAAGCCGAAGCGTGGGACGACCAGCGCACACACTCTCATTGCTCCCGTAAAGCAGAACACACACACACACAGGAAGAGAGAGAGAGAGGTCGCCCACTCAATGCAATAAAAACAAAACAGAAACAGTTACGGTGCTCCGCCCATGCAGCCAGGCAGGACGGCAGCGGTGCGTGTGGTGCAAAAGAGAGCACCAACGGGCCTGCATGGGTGTGCATGCATATATACAATGGGCACATTATGTGTGTGCTTCGTGGGATGAGGTGAGGGCGAGAGTCCATGCAAGGGGACACACACAGAGAGTGAGTGAAGGACGAGTGTGTGTGTGCGGGCGGTGCACGGCTCTCTCTCCCTCACTCTCACGCGGCCACCACCGCAGCCGCAGCCGCAGCCGCAACAACAAGAAGAAGCAAAAGAGGGGAGGTGGTGTGGGAGGCCGCGGGGCTGCCTTCACTGTCGCCACTTGTCGCCGTATCATTTTTTTGAGCGACGGTGACTGTTTCTGTTTTTACGGTTTGTGTTGCTGTCTCACTGGGTGTAGAACCGACTTTGGTATTGGCAGCTTTGTGGTCACCTGTTTCTTTGTGGTTAGGCCGTGGATCATCGTCATTGTTCTCATCCCCTGTACTTTGGGCATCGTCACTGTCATTTGTGGAGATGGATGGTGATTTTCTTTCCGCTGAATTGCCGGTAGCTGCATTTTTGACCAAAACCGTTGTGGTTGCGTCGTGACCGTGTCGGTCTGCCATGCCATCCTTTAAAGACGTTTTAGGTGTGTCGGGATTTGTTTTGGTTGCTGAAGTTGGCATTTCGTATTTTTCTTCTGTTGCCGTGCGTGGGTCTTTTGGTGCTGTGTTTGGCTGCTGTTCTTCTGCCGTTGGTGGTTTTACTGGTGGTGGTGGTGGTGGTGGTGATTGTACTTTCGACTTGGCGGCGGTGGACAACGTGTTGGAAGAGCCGTCCGTCTTCATGTCACTCTGCGTCCTCTCAGCTTTAGTTGTGTCCTTACCAGCAACTGATGTTTCTGCTTCTTCTTGTGTATCGGAGGCGCGTAACTTTTCTTCGAGCTTTGACACCTCTCCTGTCTGCCCGCTTGGCGACACGGGCCCTGGAGATTTTTTTCCAGACGGCTCACCTTTTTCCGAGGATTCCCCGTTCTGAATGGATGGCGTATTGCTGAGGGTCTTTGAAAGATCATTCCCATTGGGATTGGAAGATGAACTTGATGGAACACCAGAAGAAGGAACTTCACTTAAGCCATCGATACCCCCAACACCATTCACAACACCGCCAGCACCGCACCACAGCACGCAGAGGGCACACACCAGCAGCACACGGCCAGTCATCATCATCACCATCACTCCTGTCACTTGCGTGTAGCCTTCAGCACAAACTAGCTCCCCGTCAACGCAGAGCAAAAGCAAAAGGGGAGAGACAAGTCACACAGTCACGCACCGTCCCACCCAGCAATGAGAGTCACGCACCACCACAACAATTAGGTGGGCGCGGCTCAACAACAATCAAAACAAAATAAAAGAGGAGCTCTCCTCGCCGTGCACCGTTCCTCACGCTCCCACAGGCACTGTTACTGTTATTCCCTCTCCTCAGGCCCTCACAGGCACGCCACGCTCACCTCAACACGCGCCCCTCCAGCACACGCAGTCCATCAAGCGCTCCCGCTGCGCCGCAACGTCCGCCACCTCCTCCCTCAGTCCAACAGCTCCGTGTCCTCCACGTCCCTCACAATCGCCGGCATGCCCCGGCCGTGCAACACACACAGCGCCACAAAGTCGTGCCGCTTCTCCTCCACAATCATGAGCGCAACGCCCAACGTGTACTGGCGCACGTGCTCCATGCGCTGCAACCACACGCGGATCAGGTTGGCCGTCATGCACTGCATCTTGTTGTCCTAATTGTGCATGTAGCAGACCCTCACATCCCCTCAATACACGGCCTGGGTGCTGCGAGAGGTTGCCGAGTGGTGCCACGTGTGCGGAAGAAACAAATGTGCGGAAACAACGGCCACCCTCACTCCCTCGCACATCTCCGCTCCCTCCGCTCACCCACACACAGAAAAGGGAGGTGTCATGGGGAAGAGAAGCCCGCCGCACAGCGCATGCACGAGGACACACACCGAAGCAACTCCATCCACGTCGCACCGCAAAATAGTGTCATGCACACAGCACACATGGCGGCAACGAGAGAAACGGGACGGATACAACTCCACAGCGCTGTCATTTACTTCTCTCTTCCCCGACGGATTGGCACCCACACTCACAAATGGAGCACGGTGCACACCATCCGCTCTCCTCCGAGTGCACTCAGCAGGCCGGCGCCCAGTCACCTTCGTGCCATCGCAATGGGGGAACACAAACAATCGGCGTCGCGGACCATCGGTGCCTCTAGCAGGAAAGAAAGCAGAAGAAATGGAACATGTCAACAGCACAATCAGCAGGGACACACCCAACGGAACAAGAAAACACAAAATAACAGTCAAAACGGCAGAGACAAAAACATATCCGCAGGGAATTACGAAAAACAAAACAAAAAAATGAAACAAACAAACAAACAAAATGTGGGACCCCTGCAGGACTCATGAAAAAAAAAATAAATGATTCGGCAGGACTTTCATGTGCCATGCAGCTAAAGACGATTGGGTGCTTGCACATATTACCTGCACAAACGAAAAACGTAATAATAAAAAAAGATCGCATTATTCCAGCATCCCACACAACATTCTTCACATTTCATGCGGCATCCGGCCTGTTCCTCCAATCCTCCTTTCGTGCAGTCCGTGGGACGCACAGCCGCAGGGCCGGCAACGCGTGTGGTCAAAAACAAAAGCACAAAAAAAAAAAAGAAAAAAAAAAGGAAACACATATAAAGTACAAGCCATCCCCGCAAGGAAATGCACGAGTAATCCTAATCACCGCACAGCAGCACAGATAAGGGCGGTGAAGAGCAGCAGCAGCAGAGGCGTGCGCACCCACAAAATGGCGGCGTCGCTGCTGTCCGCACCGCCGGGATCCCGCATCCCAGTGGCGGTGCCTCCGCCATTGACGTCGGCTTGGCTGTTGCCCTCATTATTGTTGTGGGAAGTTTCCTGGGCTGCGTTGTCGCCGGATGGAGAAGAGGGCGTCTGACTGGAAGCTTCGGGTGCCGATGCCACATGTTCGTTCGTGTCTGTGGATGTCAGCAGGCTGACGGCGAAGTTTTCGCTTAGCTTTGGATAAGAGCCGCCTTCGTCTGTGTGCTCAGGCGACTTCTTATGCGGTGTCTCAGCTGCCTCCCCCGGCGGACTGCCGACGCCGCTTTGTGCCTGGCCAACAACCGCCGCTGTCGGTGCAGCCGCCGAACTGCAGTTTTTTATATTCTCGCTCAAAAAAATCCCTATGCTGGTCCAAACAACACTCGGTCTACCGCCAGGGGCGCACAGTCCGTTATTTTCCGCATCTTTGTAGACGTACCCAGCGGCAATGCACACCAGTGCACACTCATCCTCTCCTCCTCCACCTTCTGCAGGCTTATTAGCACACTTTCTCCAACCCGTCTCGCCGGGAAGACGCCAAATCAACTTACCGTCAGTCCTTGAACAAGAAACATGCACATCCATAAGGGTTTTTGCCGGCACAGCAGTCCCGCAGACGGACAAACAGCAGCAGCAGCACAAGAGCGCAAGGATCAGCTGACTACACACCACGCGGCGCCGCACAGTCACCATCATCATCATTCGTCGTAGAGTCGCTCGACTTTGTGAGACAATCTACACAGTGGGGCAAGGACAAAAACAAGAAGAAGAGGGAGAGAGGA